CACACATTCTTTATACAGCTGCAATCGTCAGCCATATCTCCTATAACCATTATTATAATCAAACCGCGCAATTAGCTATATAATACTATGCTATCCAAATTATGAAATACAAAATTTCATCTAATGTTTCAATGCTATCGAGAAGAAGAAGAAGATCTAATGTTTCAAAACTAGCCTGTTGATATCTATACAGGCTGAAATAAGAATACACACGTTAATTACTATGAGATATAAAATCACGAAGGCTGTGGCATCGATGACTCGCTTAAATTTTGAAGTAGAGAGGGTGAGTTACCATAGTAACCAATCTATATGTTCTTGTTTAAGCTCAGAAAAGTCTGCGCTTCACTGCCAGCGAAATGTGAAATATTGTGCTGTAATTCTTAAAGTACCTTATATACTACTTTCTGGTTAAATAAATTATCTTAATGCCATAAGCACACGCTTAGATCGATTTCTCATTTTTTAAGCATAATGCAAATTGATTGAATCCACATTTGGTGATGATTTAACCTCTCTTTCGAGACGCTCAACCCCTGAAATTCATTTGTCATTATCAGCCTAAAATTATATCTTTTACCTGTACTGTAAGTCTTAGAAAATAACTAAACCATTTTGTATCGGATGAGATAAAAGACTTCACGATCAGACACATAATATTCTAATAGAATGTCCGGACTTTGGAGAGATACAAAAGAAATAATTTTATTGTACAAATTCGTTAATCCCAAAACGATTCTCTTTTTTTTTTTTAAGATCGTCGGTCTTTCCGGGAAACTGTTAGTGTTATTTAAGAAAAAAATGTAAAACCAAGCCGTGCTATAAATCATGAACTTACGTGAAATCAGCCAACTTGTGCCCCGCCAGCATAATAATGGCTATTTCCTTGTGTAAGCGCGGTAAAACTCTTACCAAACTATATATAGCTAAAAGCTCATAACCAGTAACGGTGAAGATGATGCTGTGCTCTACAGTAACTGACCGACTTAATTAACTTAGCATGATAGAAACAGCAACATTATTTATTTAGTATTGTAATTGTGAGCAACCTGTATAACGTGTCAGGCCAAGATAAGATGGTGAGATTTTGTCGTGTTTGCTATTTTGGGGATTTTTTCCCTTGAGCACACGACCCAGTGAGACCACATGTAGATCAAATCGATCTTGTTGTTTTTTCCCCCCTTATCCCTCGCTCTATCTGTTTATCTTGACTGATCAACAAGGTGGAGTCTCTATACCAGCTAGGGTACTTCGGTCGAGTAATATCATATTATGGTTGGTAACATCTCGTGCTATGAATGCAATAAAAACTAGCTTACTAGATCTACCTGATAACAGTATCAACTCATAACTTATTTGAACGGACGACATTTCTGTTTGTCTGTCTGTCTGCCTGTCTGCCTGTCTG